CTCGCCTAGGAGCACTCTGACGACGCCATATCTCCGCGACTCGTGTCTGCATGTGATCGAAGTCCCTCCGATGCCGGCGTGTTGATTGATGCAATATTCAACGGAAAAGACCGAATAATATGCCTTGGGGAGACGCCGGGGTATTTGAGACGACGAGTTTTGGCTTATCATGGAGGGAGAGCACCATGTGCTCTTGCCAGGTTCGCATGATGATGGTAGTAGAGGGAGCGGAAGTCGCCGTTGAAGTCCGGGGCTGTCGCCTGATTGGAAGTGCGGGGGCCTGTTTGCTCTCCCGAATTGGGACGAGACGACATGCCTTGTGGCGGGCGGAGTGAGGCTCCCCAGACCGGCGAACAAACAAACCGACACTAGCCGTTCCCGCATCGGCTTCGTCATGACTCGGCGGTAAGATAACCTCAAGTCCTGTTTCGGCGCTGCTCCGTGGGGGTTCTCAAGTTGCATAATGATTTTACCGATTGTTTGTCGCCACCTGCGCCCTCATCTCGTTTGATTGGATTCCAGAGCGAACGGTCTCAGAAGCTGGGCGGCTCGGGCTGGTGAATCAACGTCATGGCGCGATGACCTGGAAACTCGGTTTCCATTACACGTCGCAGTCGTGCCCGACTCCCCAGCTTAAAGGGGGAACGCTCGCCCTGATTTCAGCACCAATCAGAATCAAACTCCCGCGACATCGCCCCCTTGTGGGCCGCATCGTTCATGCAGCGAGACGATACATCATGGCCACCAAGGTCAGCTTCTCCTCCTCACCAGGCACCTGGATGGTAAAGGTGCCAACGCTTTCGAACCCCAGCCAGTGGTATAGCTCGTGGCCCATGGGGCTGGCCATGACGGAAATGTCAGTGAGCCTTTCCTGGTGAGCCAATGTCATGGCCCACCTGCATATCGAAGTCCCGTGACCGCGACGTTGGAATTCTGGCAACGTGGCGAGAATCTGAAGGTGAATCTGTTCTGGTCCAAGGGGCTCGAAGAAGCGTCTGTAAGCCTCGACTTGGCCGCGCCCAAAGGCATCAAATCGTTTGCGGTTGGCGTCTCTTCGCGTTCGCCCTCCTCGTTCGTCGACAAGTCTCATGGCTGGCCAGGCGTTAGTCACCGACTGGAACCTTCAGGATCTAGCGCGGGTAGGGGGACTTGCGGTCCTGAGCCTGATATCCGGGCCCGTATCTTCTCTTGTTCCTGAAAGCAACGTTGAAAACACCAAATGCCACAATTCGGGTCTCATCGCTGGGCGAGAAGGCGTCCTCAACGACTACCACGACCCAATCATCGTACTCAGGGTCAAGAAAATACTCGAAAAGCATTCTTGTATAAGTGTAATGATCCTCTGGGTACCTCAACCGGTAGGGGAAGCGGTAGTCCCACTGGGGGTCGAGCGGCATCGCCTCCAGGATGACTTTTGTGATTGGGTCGACATCGGCGGGCAGTCCCAGCCGCAGCTCCATTGCGGCGAGCAAGAGTGAGGCGGGCAAGGCAACCAGGCGGCGAGGCCGCGAGAGATCGAGAATCGAGAGCTGATGAGTGGGTCAGCAGTGGCGGCCGAAGCCGGTGTGGGAGCGGACAGCCCTGCTTTTCAGACGCCCGACTTCTTCGTCAGCACTGGCAGTCGAGCCCGTGCAGACATTTGGACAGGCCCAATCTTCGCAAGCGGCGGCCGCGAGCCCCAGGCATCCTCCCAACGATTCGGATCATTCTCGTCGGCTGAGACAGATTGGGTGCGGCCCAGTACCGGTAGCGCGCCTGTAAAATGGGACAGAGGCATGGGAGTGCGAGACGGGCGGACTTGGTTGCCCAAACTCGGTCTTCTCGGACCAGTAGATGGAGGATTGGCCATTGCGACTCGGAGCGCCATCGTTGCCGCTGGACGGGCTTGAGTGATACCTAGGAAGCGTTACCTCTCTCTTCGATAGGCTCACATGATCCGGCGCATGGACTTGGCGAATGGAGCAAATGCGTCTGCCGACTTTGCATCTTTGGGTCGGCCGCGCATTCTTCACTTTTTTTGCTGGGGTTGTCCGGATCTCGGCAGAAACGAAAAAGGTCACAGTGGCAGCTGCGGGCGCTTCCATCGGCTAGCCTGGAACGGGAAATCGGTGAATGGTGCTGGGCGTTGGTGAGCTGGGAAGCCACGATGGTGCCACAGGCCCCCTGTTACCGTGCCGCACCTTCCCCCAAGCCGCTCGCTTGCGGCGGGCCGTTGCATTCAACAGGAAACGCGGTACACCAAAATTTTACGCTTTTCGCTGCCACCTGAACACAAGTCTTCTCCGCGATGCCGTTTCCGCAGTAGCCGATCGTCACGCCATATGGAGCCCCCCGGCAGGCGCGACTCCGGGTGCCGCGATGGCGGCGACCCCACGTATGTCGATGGGCTGGTCTGGAACCCCTCTTTCGGCTTCGTCGCCCAGAGCTTGGGGCTCTCGTCCGCGTTTAGGCCCCGTCCCGACACCGCTTCCGATGTCCCCGGCGGCCCTATCGTGTTCGCAACCCCGAAACATTTCGCATCGCAACGATTGGCCGGCCGGCCCATCCCAGCGCCCAGCCACCCGACTGGTGATGATGCTGCTGCTACGGCTGGGCCTTGGGGATTGGGGTGCGCTGTTTCCCATCCAACCCCTCAAGCCTTTAGAGATGCAGAAGATTATCTTCGCCTCCCTCCATCTCATGTGTCGTGGATGGGCCCGCCGGCCTCAGCGGCCCCCGGCGCCACCGCGCCCGCAGGAACTGTGGGTTGGACTTCGACGTCTTCCGCCGTGAGTCCCGTTCCGCCTCTCTATGGCACTGATCCGATCCCGGGCCCCGGTTCGGCCGAGGGGCTGCTCGGGTTCCCCTTTGGCCAGATGCTGGACTCGCAACTTGATCCTGCCTTTGATACCTCGGTGTCTTTGGACATACCTTTCGTCCCTTGGTCCGACGCTGGCCTGCGTCCATCTCCGGCGCTCTCTGACCTCTCGGGTCCCGCCGCGGTGCACGTGGACAACAGATCATCGAACTTCTCTGCGGCTCACAACTCCCGAGCCCCGTCAGCATCTCCTTCCATTTCCTTCATCCATGACTCTGTTTCGGCAGCCCGGACATCGGTCGCCGGCCAGCAAAAGAAGCGCAAACCACGGACCCCCTCGCCGACGTTGGAGATCATTCACTTCAAACCAGATGGAAGCCCCCCTGAGGAGCGGTCCAAGAAGCGGCGAGCCAAGGATGCCGATGGGGGTGCCGGGAGCACTCCTCGGACGCTGAAGAAAATCACCTACGAGGATGAGAATGGTGAGATGCGAGGCACCATGATGACGTTTGGCAATCCTGAGCATCACCGATCCCGTTTTACGCCTCAAAAGAGGCTGGAAACTAAGCTTGCGAGGAGGGAGGGAGTCTGCAGCCGTTGCCAGGGTTCAAAGAGGAAGGTGAGGCACCTGAGTCACTTTGAGTTACGCCGGACGAGGCTTTGTCTTACAAGCCCTGCTGCGTAGTGCGACCTGGCCCTGAAGGAAAGCTTGTATGTTCCTTGTACCCGGTGTTCCACAAGCCGGCTGTACAAGAATGTCTCGCCAATGCCTTGCTTCAAGTCGATCTTGAAGGAGGTAATGTTCTTTCGAGATGGTGAGTGCCGGGCTCCCTCCCCTGCCATGCCACCTTGGGTTCGACCATCTCTCGATGTTGAGTTGACTGAACAACGTACACAGGGCCGGCGGCGAACGAACCCTTCTTCACCGAGCGATTCAAACGTCTCACGATCGAGGACATCTCAAAACCGAACGTCCCCGTCAGGAATCTGCAACTCACACAGCATGTCGGCCACAAGCTCATGATTTATGCCTCCGAGTTTGTTCCATTGCCAGGGGATAAGGTCTCGTTGACATGGAAAGACGAAAGCGGCAATCAGCGTGAGATGAAGATGCCTCCATTTTGTCTGACGAACATGCAAAAGGTTACGGCCCAAGTCCGTCAGTATATCTATCTTGCAAAGCAGTCGTATCTCGAGTTATATGCGCGATCAAGCGACGACGAGCTGGTGACGAAGACCGTCAGGGTGGCAATAAGCTACGCTAAGGCGAAACCGGTAGGCTCGCTCTTTAGACTGCGCTGACCAAATCTGACCGCGTTAGACATCATTGGTGGGCATGGCATTGGATCTGTGGGCGATATCTCGCATGATTGAGATTGAGTGGGAGATGTGTGGACCAGACACGCTTGGCATGTCCAAAGTCAATGACCCAACCAACCCGCGCGACGGCAAGATCCCTATTCCGCCGGTGATGGATACTCAGCTGGACCAGATCATCATCAAAGAAGTCCTATATCCCCTCAAGAGCAAGTTCCTGGATCAGTTCGAAGCCAAGATTTCACCGATGAAGACAGAGGACTGGTTCGACATTTATCTCACGTCGTTTGTCCTTCTCAGTCACATCGAGAGGTTGGCACACCATTCTGCCCATCACGCAAAGCTTCACTCCATGCCGGTGAGTGGCTGTACTTTGACCGCCGCCAATGCGACCGAGATTTTGCTGATGTGCCTGCAGAGCAAGTTTTCCAACGTCTCGTTCCTCACCAACGTTTTTCACACGGCAAAGGTCATCCTCTCCCGGTTCCACTTTGTCTGCAACGGATCTGCCCCCTTGGCGCTCGACTGGGACTCCCAAAGTGCTCAGTCCATGGCCGAACTGGACAGAGATCAAGTTGCGTTTATGAAGGAAACACAGTCGCTCATCAAAGCTCGAGGTAGGCGTGCCCCGCTTGCCTAGCTTTTGAGTCTTTTTTTTTTTTTTTTTGACATTCCTGACTCCTCCAGACAAGCACATTGCCAGCCTGCGAACGAAGTACGACTATGGGGAATCGCTGTATTGGTCTTCGCAGCTGTTTACAAAAGAGTGGGACGACTCCCCAGCGCGAGTCATTGAGGTGCCGTAGGGCCCGTGGTGTGGGCCAGCAACGGTTCCCACCAGCCACATGCAAAAAATGAAGGCAAACAATATCGCAGACGGGAATTGAGCCCGACGTGGGGGTCGAACCCACGACCTTGAGATGAATCTCTGGAGATTTCGGAGAAGCTCCTTAAGAGTCTCACGCTCTACCGATTGAGCTAGCCGGGCGTGTTGCCGATTTTGGATATCAGGGGTTGCTCTCGAACCCCCTGTATACCGGACGGCAGCAACGCACTCCGGCGGTTTACAGGTACAATGTCATGCCCTCTCGCCTGCCTTCAGCTCTGTCCACCTCTTCTCCCAGTTTGCCAACTCCGTGCTGACTGTGATACATCTAGAGCCGGGGTCGAGGTTTCTTGCACACACTCGCTCCGTCACAGGGCCTTCTGAGCAGGCCGCGCTAAGGAAGATTTCCAATGCCACCGACAGGCCGTTGTGTGTCCGAGTCTTGGACCTGGATTTATGTAAGCAACAGGAGATGTGCGGCTGTAGTTTGACGGTACTTGCTGTGCGTCGCCGCTTGTCGCTGCAGAAGGCTCTGAACCTGACATGGCGAACATCGGTCTTGGTATTTTGGCGGTACGAGACGTCAAGGGGAGGCGTAGGGGCTTCAGCTGGCAACGACTTGGAATTTGCGTGGTGGAGTGGATTGATGGGAGCATTTGGATAACGCATTGGATTGTCTGAGCATTGAGCCCGCATTGCATTTATACCTGACTTGAAGTTTTTGGCTCGACATGGTTGCAACAACACACAATGTGTGTTCTTCACTTTGATGGCTGCAACGGCGGGCTCGGGACACATGTTGTGTGCGCCCCACGGCGATTGCGGCGGGGGATTGTTGGAATCGCGAACAGCGTACAGGGGGCTGCAAGCCACGGCCGACTTTGCCATGAACGCACGTTTGTGCGTTCGCCGCTCAAAAGGGGCAGTGAGATTGGTGGGGGATGCTGCGTAGTGCGGTGAGTTCCTTCCAAGTTGGGCGACTGCCCCTCTAACCTTCCCCTAAATCTCTCCCCGCACGCTAATGGACGATTGTCCTGACAAAATGATGGCAGGAAAACCGCTGGACCTCTCACTCGCCGAAAGAAACCAATTTGGCTTCAAGCTCGCCGACAACGGGTCGCTTCACCTACCCCCGAGCGGCAATCCCGATGCCGACACGGCGAGCAGTTCGCCGTCTCTGGTTGTTGAGCGCGATGATGGCTCGATGATTGGCCAAGAAGAGATCCGCTCCGCCATACCTGGACATCTTGTATGGTCCTCAGTTCGACCCTGCTGAGCTCACACTGTACCGGATTGGCAAACGCACAGCAACTGTTGTCCTTCTCTCTGGACAGGTTCCACCAAAGACATCGAGAGCGTTCCCGGAGATGAAACTTGTCGCCGGCAGGACTCGCGTGACAGATAGCCCCAGGGACCCTTTGCCGGCACCGCCCAACCTGAGGCCGGAGTCTTGCTTTCCGAGCCCGAGACAGCCCACGATCTCGCACCCGTTGACCGGAAAGTGACCTCGGACTTATCTGATTTGGATCCGTTCAGCTGCTTCCATTCTTCGCCAAAGCCTTTTAACGCTTTGGTTCCGCCGATGTAAGACTCGCTCGCTCTTCAGAGCCCCACCAAAAACACTAAGTCGCGCCCACACGTTTGCCATACTTGCTAGAAGACTTTCACCAGATCGGAGCATCTTCAGAGGCACGAGCGCTCTCATGCCAATATACGCAACCATCCTTGCACCAAGTGCGGCCGGCGATTCACAACTGCAGAATTGCTTTCGAGACACCAAAATCGATGGCACGCGAAGACCGCTGTGTACCGACGTCTTCTTCCAGCAGAAGACGAAGCTGACGCCTCGCACCTAAAGAGCAAGGATCCGAAAAGCGACTCGGAACTCGAGACGGTGGTGAGCGCGACGATTCCGTCGATGACATCGTCGCTTCAGCCAGGTTCGGTGATTCTTGAGGCCACCACAAAACCGCCGAAGCAGGAGATCAACGGCGTTAAGAAACCCGAAAGCTCGTCTATCCCGGACGACAAGAGCTCTTCTCGCAACTCAGCAGATGGAAGCTTGGAAGGCGACTATTTCTCCGATTACACGCCAGACTTCCCCTACATGGACGATGAACACCCTTTCATGCGGCAGAAATCTCGAGCGTTGGAAGCTCTGCTTGAACGCTTCTGGGGCCGATTACGCCTAAAAGGATGCGTGGGCGGTCATGATACTGCAGGGGGCGGGGAATCGTTGCTGGCGGCGGCACGAGAGCAGGTGATGGATACGTCAGTTATAATGGACGGCTCCACTTCTTCGGTCGTTGGGACGGCTATGTCGACGACCGAGAGGACATTGGTGGAGGCACTGGAGATGTTGCCGCCGAAACCCAGGACTTCTGGCAGACGAGGAGGATGGTGATGATTATGATGGGATCGATGACGTGAACGTGGATTTTTGTCTTTTGGCGGCAGAGCCTCCAAGCCCATCCGCGGTGTTCCCACCTGACTCCACGGAGAGCCAGTATTATCATCAGGGCGAAGAACATGTCGAGCAGACGACCGATTACTGCGACATGGGATTATTCTAGCTCGCCAGCGAGAGTCGGTCGGGCTATTTTTAATAAAGCACAAATGACCTTCAAGGTAGGCATGATCGTACCGACTTCATTCTCGGGAGCGTTCCAAAGTTGCTAATTTTTGGCGGTGCCTAGTGCGGCTTCCAAGAGGCTCTACGTGAGTCCCAATTAATACACGCAGTTCACCTTGTCGTGCTCCATCTCCTGCCGTCGTGTCGACACCTTCATCTGAGCCCGCCATCTCTTCAAAGCCCGCGCGCGGCAGCTACAAACTGATGAGTCGAAATGTAATGAGCAACATTGTGGGCACCTACTTCGAACCGCAGCTCCTCGACCATGTGTTCAACTCCCCGAATCCCCCAATCATGGCCGTCAGCAAACGGCTCCACAGCCACATGCAAATCACGGAGTACTCCTGCTCGTCGGCGAAGCCCGCTCCAAGCCGCAATCACCTCGGGCGACATATCATTCCACCCCGCCGATGGAAAAGTCGAAACCAGCAACAGAACCGCAGTTTTCGGGCCACTTTCACGATATTGCAGGTAATATCCGAACCCCTGTCCGCCGTTCCAGAGTATCATGTCTTCCAGGTTTGGCATGAACGCCGCCGCGCGGCCGGCTCGGACGAGAACTTGTTGGCGTTCCCATCCCGGCGTGACAGGGCTGAGTCGTGAGGAAGTCAAGGTCAAATCTCGGAGGTAGTCCCATGTCTGTGGGTTGGACAGCGGAGCATCGAAGCCGTCAAAGAAGTCGTATGCGTCGACGATGAAGGATGCTGCGAGGCGGACAAGGGAAGGTATGTTTTGGATGGCCTTGGATAGGGCACGAGCGAGGTCACGCTTGCTTTCCCGGGTGAGCTGGTCTTCGGGAAGGGCGGAGTCGAGGGCGGTGAATTGTCTTGGAAGAGGGTGAGGGCTGTGAGGTGGGGTAGGTGGCTGGGTAGGCATTCGACGAGGGACAGGTATGATGATGTGAAAAGCTGTTGGCGCTCGGCAGTGACGGCGAGCCGGGGCTCGTGGGTAAAGTGGCGGAGGTTGGGCAATGCGACGAAGAGTTTCTTGAGCGAGTTGGGATTGATGCCACGTGATGATTGCCGAAGGATGGCGAAGTGTGTCACGACGGGGGCGATGGGGAGGGCATCACTGAGGAGGACCAGCGATTCGGTGACGCGCTTTTTCACAGCTAGCGACACGGCGCTTTGCTGGCCGTTTACCCATCCGTGGGATGGATCGTGGAACGGCTCGGCGTCCAGCTGGGCTTTTCGCTCTTCTTCTGCCGGGAAGTCGAGGTCATAATCAGCCCATTGGTCCTGGCAAAACAAGATTGGGTAGTTGGGTTGAAGCGCAAAGTCCCTAATGCCGTGCTGGTAGTCGTTGGGACACAAGGTGCTGAGGTCGAGCCAGATGCCTGTTATGTGCCCATGCCTTCTATGTGGCTGCGGCGCTGGCCACTTGGAGAGGGTAGCTAGCAGGTCCTGCATAGCCTGGGTGAGTACGACGTTGTTTTTCTTTCGCGATTCCTCGTCTTCCTCCAGCTGGCAGGTGGAGCAGTCGTAGTCCGGAAGCTTGACGCGCAAGTGGATGTTTACAATATAGGAGCGCCTCTCGGGGACTCGCGACGCGAACCTGTCAAAGTCTGCGATGCGGTCTTGGTCCAAGAGAATGTCTCGAAAGGTCATCGGCTCGAAAAAATATTGCCAGTCCCGGCAAACGCTTGCGTAGCGCGCCCAGACGTAGGGGTCTTGAGGTCGGAATGTGTCGGCGTAGTCCTCGGGCCCTGGGAATCTGTGGATCGGGGCTCTGTGCAGCAAGTATATTGCGGGCTTGAGGAATTCGAGCGTCATTAGCCGGAGCTCGACGGGAAGGCGGGACCAGGACATGGTGGTGTTGTTGAGGTGATGGTGTGATGGATAGGGGTTAGGGTTGGTCAAGTTCTGGCGGGAGAGGAAGAAGAAGAAGAGAGAGAGAGAGAGAGAGCGATGAAGGGGAGGAATTTATAGGTTGCGTGGATTACAGTCATCTCGGCTAGATCGAAAGCTTGATTGGAAGTGGTGATGTTTTGGCAACGCCACGTTGAACTTTGTTTGGGCGAGCATGTGAAGAGATTTGAAAACGGTATTACATGTATTCTGCGCAAGTGGCGTTCACTCGGACACGGGACATTTCGGGTCTCGGGGCAGGCGCGCTGGCTGGGCTGGGAGCTAATGTTTTTGAGTTGAACAGTCCCCGTTGGCTTTGGGGAAATGTATGTGAGAACATGCACAACCTCGATTGACAGCGGGATGACGACACCACCACCGTCATGGACCACCAGCTAGCTGCCGCCTCCTCCGCCTCCTCCGCCCGCCCGCCTGTAATAATTATGTAAGGACGAAGTGGGTGGCCGTCGTGGAGGACTACAGATAACAAACCGGCGAGCGTGACGAGAAGAAGAGGCTTTGGATCATCAAGGCGGCAGAAAGTCACCAAGATCATATCATACCTATCATCTGAACCATCATTGGAACCAACTCGAGCAGCAGCCACGGTCCGCCCGACGAAAATTCACGTGTTGAGTGTTGGAACAACATCAACGACACTTGCCCATAAACATCCAGTCAAC